CTTGTGTATGCTGGAATGTAATGAAAAATACATAGATATTAAATGACCAGGGGGGCGTTTCACAAAGCCTTTCTTCAATGACAAATAACAAAAATCAGTGATAAATCTGCTGATAACCAATTAGAAGCAAAGATTTCAGACTTTTTCAGTAGCTTAGAACACAAATTGTCATTTGTCACGGATGCAGGTTTTGTGAAATGCCCCCGCTCTCCTTGTATCTAAGACCATAGAGCTATGTTTTGTGCGCCTGGTGCGAAAGTCTAGCATCAGCCACACGAGGTCGTAAGGTCACAGCAGTTTGCTCAGATTTGACTGCAAGTTATCCTTAAAGGGGGTGTAACATGGAAAATATTGGTTAATGCCATCTACAACTTCTTTTGGACAATTGCACGTAAACGAATGGACTTGATTAACAGTCAGCGCACGCTAGCGCTCGCGAAACAGACCAAAATTCTCCACACGCTTCGTTCCCATGTATTTTGGGCCTTGGGCCTGATATCAAATGATGTTTGTTAACATAACCAATAGGGTTGATTCACAATTATAAGCCTATTTTTCAGCTCGCGGGTTGACATCTTTCGACCAGTGCAGCACAACAAAATGCTAGCCGCCGATTGAAATGACAAAAGTGGTACGTCCAAGCTGTGTAAATCCATGCAATGAGAACGACTGTTCAGTATACACGTAGTAGTAATAGCGCAAATTTATTGAATTTTGATGTCAAATCCAACCACCAAAATTTAATCGAGTCTGACTGAAAATTTCGCCTGATTTGGACAGGAATCAATAGAAATGGTCAGTTTTTGCCAAAGAGTGGCTAAACAAAAGTACTTTAATATGTAGGATCAAATACTTAATAGCCATGAATACAAACTGATTGTAAAATTGTTTTTGCGATTGATTACCTTAAATGAATCGATCATAATTAACACCAACTCCGTCGGAACTCCCTGGATCTGGAGTTAAATTAACACGTGCAATCAATCGCAAAAATCAATATTGCTAAGCTTTGTGTTAAGTAGGAGCGCTGTTTAATTAACATCATCTCATAACATTTCAGGGCTCAAGTTGTTCAATCAAAGAGCAGGTCTATCTATGGCTATGCACAACTCAACAACATGCAACACTGCCCTGTAGTGAAGTTGCACAAGCTGCACACAAAATCCCACGGGTTGATTTTGCTGTATTGTCAATGCAATGAATACAAGTTAAAACTCTCCATCACAAAATATGCAGTCCTGTTCGTAGTCAAAATCGACATATCTTTAAACCATGTTCACCTTATACACACCTAATTCATACATTAGTAATGTAAAATATTCATGGTTTGAAAAGAATTTGCTAAATTATGATTATTGGACTTACGGGCAGACATTTTGCGATGATGTTTGTTGTCCAAATCAGCTGTCAACATCTACCCTCTATTCTCCATTGCATGCTCAGATCTATTTACATTCCCCGATTTTGAGAGCGGTTCATTATTACAAAATAGGTAAATGATCCAAGCTCCTGCATCAAAAGTCAATTATTTTCAAAATAAAATGTTATATTTGTAAGAAAAATTATATAATAAAGACTTTTTCTATTCTTTTTATTTACTACAAGATATCATTACATTACCAATATGGCAAAAAATATTGCTACGTAACCCTACGATATAGACTTTACCCCCACAATTATAATGGAATACGCTAAAAAGCTATTTTGGGTGAGCGATTTCTGCATGCTAATAAATGGGTGCCTCTTATATCACAGGGCGCAGTATTAATGCACGAAGCCCAATTTGTGGTGTTGGGAGCGACTCCCTGGGATGTTGGGGCATTATTGGCTTATGACAGAATTTGGGGACGATTAATTAAACAAAGATATTTTGAGCTTTAATTTTTAGGCCGTGTCTGCGTGGTTATGATGAATGTAGGACATAATATACAGTACCAGAAATGTAATTAATACATGATTATTTACCCTCAATCGGGCCAGCTATAGTGAACGCAACTGTACTCTGAATATAGTTTTTTAAAAATGCTCTAGGCATGCATGATTTTACTAAGTTAAAGACATCAGTATAGCTACGCGAAAAATGAGGAAAACATTAATTCACTATTGATTGTGAATATAATGTTTTGTAATGTCAGAAAATAGGCATATAATTGGGCCAATTATGTTCAATGAGAATAGACATGCACACTTTTATTTTTGTCAATTTCAAACTGTATTCGATCATTTCATAACACATAAAGAGCGGGCGTGGGGGCAGCACCCAACCAGCCTATTCTGCAATCCCACCATCATTCAAGATCGGTGAGATCGATGTCCCAAGATATAGGCAATTTATAATATTGAGCCCATACCATATTATATCGATGCAGTGTAGCGTATATTTATGTCGAAACTTTAGAGACTACATAGCATAATATTTCACAACAAAAACTTCCTTTTTTTCTCGCTTCATTCTCTGGCAAAATGAGAAAATGAAAAGAAGACATGAAAGGGGCGACCTCGATCAGCCCCCCCCCCCCTCCCTATAGCCTGATCAGGCGAAGATTTTCATACTCTATAGTCTATACCTATGCGCATAAACCCATCCACCCTCGCGCATATATCCCCTTCCAGTCTCTCCCTAGCCCCTAGCCCTTGCCCCCCCCCCCCCCTGGGCGTCGATCCTCGATCCCCCACCCCCTCCACCCCCTTCCCCTCCACCACCCCCCCCCCCCCCCCTCCATCCTGAATCCGCCACTGGTACGCGTGCATCAACAACAACAACAACAGGCACGATTCACGATTACGCAATCATAGCGAGTTCGTACGTTGGTGTGCTTTTTATCAACAACTGCGGGTTATCCCACATAGCTGCATTTTTATCCTGGCTGTGTATTAAATACTCTGCTATTGATTCTCAACATTTCAAACACCACTGTACAAAACTCAACCGATTTTACTCAAAATCGGTACTTTAGTGACAGTTGATGACACCTAAATAACAGTAAAATACAATTTCTTCAACTTTCCGATGTTAGAAAGAATAATTTATAAATTCAAATTGTGAGTCCACTGTAAAACTTGTCGATCAACCGCATCGGCATTATTGTGTTACGAGTGTGTTGACTATTCATGTATTCAAATACTGCCTATTAACACCTAGTGCAGTGTTAGAGGTTAATAAGCATTGCCTCTCTATGCTTTGCTGGAGTGGGTTGTGGCTGCCGAGGAGTCTTGGAGTTGGAGGCGTTATTGGTGGTAAGTTGGAGATGGAATGATCATGATCATGTAAGAATGGAACTCAATGTTTAACCATGGAGGTCTCACCTCCCTAGATTAACTAACTTATTCCTTTCTAGTGAAGTTTTGTAACTACATAATTGATGGATCATGGATTGTCTTAACATGCAGACCCACACATAGTACTTTTTGTCTTTGGTTGCTAAGTTAAGGCCTTGAAGATTGTGTTGTATCATTAGTCAATGTTTTTAAGTCTAATTAACTCCAATGACCACTGGAAATTACGAAAGTGTTGTGAGGGTATCAACTCGAAGTCATAAATCAGACGAAGCAGTTGTTGCGGTTCTATTGGGTATGAGGCCAATCTTTATTTCATGCTGTTCAACTAGTAACAAAAGAGGGTAAAAGACCCATGACTGCACAAAGTCACTTCAATTGCTGTAGAAAATTAAAAGACACAAAAAAATACAGTAAGTATTGCATCATTACGATCACAAATAATTACTTGCTAAGGCTGTTTTTCGGAGCAGAAAAACTAGAGATCCATAATTACAAATATATGAGGCCTAAAATATATACAGTGTTTGCAATTTAGTTCATACATGTACATTGTATATATTGAGTTTACCTCAGCCAATGAAATGCATGTAGTAAATAAATCTGCCATGAAGGCCACTCCCTATTTATTACTTTCACATACATATATTTATAATACAATTCTGCAAATGAGTGAGCTATCCTTATCATTCTATCAGTCTTACGCAATATAGAAACATACTCAACTAATCACGATACAAATGCAGTGGAACATGGCATCTACCAATATTTAAGTCACCTCATCTCTAGAGAAGATTGCTATATTTGATATCTGTAATTAGTTATTAAAACATTTGCATACCAATCTGAATTCCACAAGAAAACCAACAGAACCTATCTTTATGAATACAAGGCTTACCAAAAAGCAGTTATACTAATAATGTCTTACTGACACGCCTTTCTAGCATTAATAGGCGTGACTCAATTACTACCAGCATGCATCCTTCATGTAAATTAAAGTTAAATCTCCCTCTTCTTCACACAAATTATAATCTATCCAATTAAGCTCCTCGGCAAATCTTAACATCAGAGAGTTAATTATATACTGTACTCACATATTAAGGTCGTTTCCAAAACCAACTTTAGACATCAAGAATATCAGGATGAGACATCAATTACAGCTTCATGTAGGCACAGCTACAACCAGTCTCATCTCTGCTCACTGCATGTAACTATGAGCTTCAACCTGCATACAGTGAGTGTATGTCCACTGGGGCATATCACTCCTCTTTAGTTAGGTACATTCCTTTTACCCCTGACTAATTTGCATTATAAAGAAAGAGCTATTACTCATTCCCTCACATGTAATAAGTTTGAAACTTTGAACCTTTAAGTAATTGGTTGTTAGTTGAACTATATTTTGACAATGAATATGTGAGGATTGATTTGATGAGAATGGCGCCCTCTACCATGTCTACAACTAAGTCTTCAAACATACTTTGCGTCGCCATAGGTAAATCAGGTCGTGAAATATTCTGCTTAAACATGAAACATGGGTGACGGGCGATCCGGTAGGATGGGACCGTCATTGTTGGTCAAACAGTTTTTGAAGCATTGAATCCAATGACCGGGGTAAGCGCTTAGAGACATGGTAGATGTATTAAGCCCTATATAAAAGCGGAATATTATTATTATCATCACCATCTCTTTCCGTAATCCACTAACACATTACAGATATTAAAGGTCATGGATTTATACAGCAGTAAGGAGAGTATACGAACGATGGTTTGGGATTATCTGGAGGAACATGACCTAGCTGAGTTCCCACGGCCGGTTCATCACAGGATACCAAACTTCAAGGTAAGGATTGAGGTAATGTGGAAGTGCTTCATTCACTTGACTCTCAATTCAAGAGATGGGGGGGGGGGGGGGGGGGTTGAATCACACTTTTGTCCTTGCATGGCAAGATGTGTTTTTTTTTCTTCCTGTATCTGTGTGTTTTAGGGGTAGGCTTTCAGATCTGTAATTGATACCCCCCTGAACAATAGGTATTACCTAAGGATTGACGCCCATGAATTAGGAATCCCTCCTTTATGCCTACAGTATCCCAGATGCTCTTATAAATTGTCATTGTTATTTGTTATCGCTATTTTTATTTTTTTTATCATTCCATGCTGTATTTTTATGTTTTTATGAAGAGTGTTGAATAAACTTGAATTGAATTGAATTGAATGTTAATCCATATTTGCAACTCTCCATCCAGGTGTAAATGAGTACCTAGCAATGGCTAGGATGACTAAGATCGATGACTAAGATCGATTTTAAGATCGATTTTAAGATCGATTTTAAGTTGGACTTAACTATGGCAGGATTGGCAGGCCATTCATGCCACTGTTTGCTCTCACAATTTACTGACATCGCTCTCTCAAGGGACTTACAAATCATGGTCACAAATCTACAGAATTTACATTTTTTAATAACTCATTATTGAAGGAAAAAATATAATCTATAGATCGTAATTGAGAGACCAATGGTGAGAGCAACCAGTGGCGTGAACAGCCTACCATAGTTAAGTCCAGCTTAAAGTCGATCTTAGTCTTTGAGAAACACCCCCGGATACCTTTTCTATTTGTACCTGTAGGGGGCAGCTGAAGCCTGCAATAGACTAGGAAGCATGGAGATCTTCCAGAAAGCAAAAACGATAAAAGTGAATCCAGACAAACCTCAACAACAAGCAAGATTTCTGGCATTAGAGGTTAGCCAATCCTTGATTGTCTTTTTGTTGGTGTATGATATGACATGCATCCATGGGGGTAGAACTCAATGCGATAAAGGCGAGATGTGCAGTTAAGAGGCATCTGAGCTGAAGAAGTGCATCTATCTATTGAACTCGAGTTAGACCGTGAGGAGTAATGGTTTTCACTGATCCAACTTCTCTTACCTATAAGCACAGATTATTCAAGCGGGGGCATAAGGGGAATGCCCTCTCCCCTCACCCTCCCCCCCAAAAATGAAAATAATAATAACAATAATAAATGAATCAATAAAAAATAAAATAAAATAAATAATAATAATAATAATAATAATTTAAAAATAATTAACAAATAAATAATAATAATAATAATAATCCTGGACCCACTACTTGATGGAGAGCCTTTGTATTGAAATGATCAGACATCAGTTTGTTTGTGTTATATACCAAGTCAACTCACATTCATTAGGTTAAGAATTTCCCCAAAACAGTTAACCTGTCTATGAAGAACGCTCAAGGGAGATAAGAAAAGTGGTCCTACTAGGCAGGTGGTCTTTCTATACAGGTGGTAGCTAAAGCAGGTTTCACTGTATAGGAAAGGAGACACAACTCCACAAAAGCCTGGCTATTCTTCAGAGATATCTGGGGGGGGGGGGGGGTGTTTCACAAAACTTGTCATTAGTGACAAATGACAGTTGTTGTTATAAGCTACTGAAATCCTTGCTTCTGATTGGTTATCGGCAGATTTGTCAATGATATTTGTCATTTGTCGTTGAAAAAAGGCTTTGTGAAAAGGGTCCCTGAACAGAAGATAACAGGAGAGCTCATATATGGAGAGAAAGAGAGAGAGAGAGAGAGAGAGAGAAGAGCTTGGGCCATCTTGTTAATATTTTGTTTCCATCTTCAGGCGCACAAGACCCTCCTGGTTCCCACCCCTCGGCTCAGAACCGGTCTTTTCAACAGGATTACCCCTCCCCCAGGAGCCAACAAGAAGATGCTTAGGACCTGCTCATCTTCACAGGTAGCTAATCCCCACCTCCCCCTCCCCATCAATCTACAATTGCCACTATTGACACAGGTTTAGTAAGTGGATACTTAGCTGATATATGTGGATAAGGTACCACAAGGTACTGTGTTAAAAATGCTACTGCAACAGCAGCACTAATGTCCTTTGGCTATGCATTAATCTACATTTGCCACTCTCGACCCAGGTGTCGTTAGTAGGTACCTGATATGTAGAAGTGTCGTAATCGAGTGGTTTAAGCACTTGACTTGAAATTGAAAGGTTGTGGTTCTATCCCCGACATGGCACTAATGTCATTGGCATTAATCTTCATTTGCCACACTCGACACAGGTAAGGTAAATGGGTACCTGGCAGGAATTAATTCCTTGAAATGCTAGAGCGCTGTAATGGCAGCTAGGCTAAAGCCGGGGTAATAATTAGTGCGCCTCGATTCTAGATAGACGGCGCTATATAAATGCCTACTATTATTATTATTATTGTATGATAATGTTATGCTTTTTCTTTATGCAGGGAGTGAGGCAGTACAGTTCACCAGTAGGTCTGGATGCAGAGGTCAAGGTTGACCTGGTCCTCATAGGGTCAGTGGCTGTCTCTCCTAAAGGTAACACTTCCTGTTGACACTGATATTCTAGAGCTACCAACCAGTACGATTTTTAGAAGTAAATGCGACGGTACAATTTTCCTCAATAAAATATGATTTTCCAACAAAAATAAAAACAAACAACAACAAAAACGTGTGTATGTGTGTCATTTTTGATGGCAACATGCCCACTCTGTCCTGTAAATTTTCTCACAAGCATCTCACATCAGCAATTTAGGAATGTTAATGGTTCATCGAACACACCAGTCATGATCAAATCATACATATTCAACCAATGATCCATACACAAATTTCTTCTTGTGTGTAGGAACTGTAAGAGGCATTGATCCATGTTTTTTTTCAATACAATTTTTGTCAGTAAAATACAACTTTTGAGATTAAAGAATGCAGTTTTTGAACTCCAGAGTTTGGCAGGTCTGATATTCATGCATGCAAGATAGTCAACGAAATCAGAATCTATCTCTGGACAAATGAATACAATTCTTTATAACCTTAGCCAGTCTGTGTAGCTTGACAGTGGTCACGTCAGATGTCATTCTCGCTTTGTGTTGCATGAAGAACACGAGAAGAACAAATGGTGCAACTCTATTTGTTAATATTAAGCAAATTTCATTGATTTGGTGAATGGTCCGGTATAGAGCAGGAAAACAAGTCAACCAGAGCACTATGTTTTGGGACTTTCCAAAATATTCTTGCTTTGAAAACAGCAGATTTTATCCATGTTGCAAAGGTTTCTGGTATTTTGGTAATGTACACTTAATATAATAATAATAATAATAACGTTTTATTTACCAAGGGTAGCCACTTCAGTAATATGAAACTGCTCTTCCAGTGGGCCCTGCATAACATACACTTGAGCAGTATATGCCTGATTATGGAAGGGTCTTTCACTATACACACATGTAGTGACATTATTATGGTCATTGTGTCTGATTCCTAATCATTAATAATGACATTAATTATGACATTAATTTTGTTGGTATGACACCATTCACCACTTTTTCCCCGCTTTGTCTTATAATCCTCAAATATCTCAGGATACCGAATTGGTAAGGGTGAGGGTTACGCAGACATGGAGTTTGCTATGATGTCTTCCATGGGAGCCGTTAACCAGAATACGGCCGTCATAACAACCGTCCACGACTGCCAAGTCAAGGATGATCTTCCCGAATATATATTCGGAGAGCACGACCTGGGTGTCGATTTCGTCGTGACACCGACACGGACAATAAGGTGCGAGAATAAACGCGCTAGGCCGAAAGGAATCTCCTGGGAGCTGTTGACACAGGAGAAATTTTCCAAGATACCGGTCCTGACGATGCTGAGGCGACGGGAAGCAGAGATGGGAATCGATGTGAGGTTGAAAGAGGAGAGACAAGGATGTTTAGACTCTTCCACAGCTGTTTCTTCAAAGGATTTTTACAATAGTAAAGAGAAGAGAGTTGGAAGTTTAGACTCTTCCACAGCTGCTTCTTTAAAGGATTTTCGCAAAAGTAAAGAGGAGAGAGGTGGAAATTTAGACTCTTCAACAGCTGTTTCTTCAAAGGATTTTCGCAAAAGTAAAGAGGAGAGAGGTGTAAATTTAGACTCTTCAACAGCTGTTTCTTCAAAGGATTTTCGCAATAGTAAAGAGGAGAGAGGTGGAAGTTTAGACTCTTCCACAGCTGTTTCTTCAAAGGATTTATACCATGACAATCTTTATCCTGCAAAGGTGTGTGGTAAAAATCCTGGTGCTCACTCTACAGAGCTGGGTCAGAGAGGTAGAGATGTGGCAGGATGTGGAATAAGCACTACAGCAGAGAGACATTCTCAAGGAATCAGAAAAGACATGATGAACCCAAAGGAACCTGAAAGCCATAGGAGTGAACACATAAATGAGACTGGGAGAGATGCGATGTATCAAAGAACAGACATGAAGGGTCAAAGTGCAAATTCAGGTCAAAGGTCGAAAGTTAATAAGTCTGGCTCTAGTAGGAGAAGAGATTTAGCCGGTATGTTTGCATGGAACTAGATGATGTAGATGTACACTGTTGCTCATATAGTTTGAATATTTTTTTTAAAATCCCAATTTATGGAATTATTTTGACAATGGTTAAATTCCTAATAGATTTATAAAATAGTATACATTCTCAAATTTTAATGAAAAATAATTTGCCAGTGTTTGTCAACCTTACAGGTCTGTATGCGTGTTTGTACTCTATATCCATGCCATGATGAATTCATGTACACATGTAGCAGTGGAGATGAGTTTAAGGAGTTATGATATTTTAGCAACAGTCCATATTGTTTCAATGTATCGTTTCAATGTACACTGTCGCTCATATAGTTGGAATATTTTTGTTTTACCCCAATTTATGGAATTATTTTAAAAATAATAAAAAAATAATAGATCTAGATAATAATATACATTCTCAGATTTTATTGAATAATAATTTGACAATGTGTGTTTTGTGTGACTGCTAAAGCATGTGTATGCTACTATGATTATCAACTAGGGAACCTACACCCTTAAGTCATAAATGACAGTAATGAGGATTAATGCCCCACAAAAGGGCACTAATATGGCACATCGACACGGTCCTGGGGCCTCGCAGTTACGAGGCCATTGCTTTGTCACTGAACCATGACTGTACGCAGCGGGGGCTAAGGTAGGGGGCAGTTCCCACAAATAAAAAAAACAAAGAAAATGCAATAAATTTTCAATAATTCATTGAATTTTACCCCGATTACCCCGATCTCCAACATAACAAAATCTTCTGTGTGCCCATGCCTTGAGCCATAATGCAAAAAATATTCCAAATATATGAGCGACTGTGTTCTTATCTAGCTTGACTTTTTGCTCGAAATTGTTCGTTATTTCTATCGTACTATCATACTATTTTTATGTTCATGTATGCAATAAGCAATAAATGTATCTAGTTTTCAAACAAACTTGATTTATGTTATTCCATTGTGTGCATGATTTATTATGCTCACCAACAATCAATGTAGTAAAAAGTTTGTTTACAATATGGACAGCGAGAGTAAGGGGCGGAGGGGAATGGGAAAGAGATAGAGAAAAGGGTGGGACCGGAAAGGGAGGAGGAGGAAGAGGAAGAGAAGAGTTGGAGAGGGGTGAGAGGAAAAAGAGGGTGAGAGGTAGGGAGGAAGAGTGAGAGAGAGAAGATAGGAAACGATGGGGAAGGGTCAAAAGGGAGGAGGAGGAGAAGAGAGAGGGTGAGAGAGAAAAACTCGACACCAGAGATGGGCTCCAGATAAATAAATAAATGATGTACTAAAGAGGAACAAAGCTGTACCTTTTCCTAAGACTCGGCTCATAATCGAACATAAGTTTATATCAATATGCACTGCTATGTAGCAAAACCGGCTCTTGATCACGTCCAGGCGCGGATCCACTCGCCCTCCCCCCCCCCCCCCCCCCCCCCCCGGCGGAAAAAAAGAGAGAGAGAGAGAGAGAGAAAGAAGAGAGAAAAGGAAAGAAAGAAGAGAAGAAAAGGGGAAAAAGAAGGAGTCGGGGGGGGGGGGCCTTGCCTCCCAGCTGTTACCCCCATCCAAAATTAGGAGAGAAGGAAGGAAAGGGAAAGAAAAAAAGGAAAAGAGAAGATAAAGGGAAGGGAAGGAAAAAGAATGGGGATATCAGTTGCAATGTTCCCGCTAACAAGTTGTAGTTCGGGGGGGGGGGAGGGGGGCAAATAAAGGCCCTTCCCCCCACCCCCGCCCCCCAAAAAGGGGAGAAGGAAGGGACAGGGAAAGAGGAGAGCTAAAAGGGAACAAACAAGAGGAAGAAGAAAAGCAAAGGGTGAAAAGAAGGGGAGAACAGTTGCCATTTATCCCGCCAACAGTGTGGATCGGGGGGGGGCCGAAAAGCCCTTACCTCCCCCCCCCCCAGGAAACCCAAAACAGGGAGAAGGAAGGGAAGAGAAAGGGAAAGGAAAAATGATGGGAGAGAGCTAGGGAGCGGGAGGGGTGACAAATGCCCCCAAATATAATTCAGACGTGGTTTATTTCTAATTCGATACCGGTGATTTACAGATGTTGCTGAAATGACATTATTTTCCGAGATTTTTCCTCAATCTTTAGTAAATTATACTTTTCATGCGTTTGTTGGAAAATGGCAAATTCCTAAAGAAAGAAGGAAAGAATAGTGACCTGCCTTTGTCACAAAATAATGAGGTGTCAAAATTTGCTCATCTGACCGTGATTATATGCCTAAAAACCATGAGTTTCCGGGGGCTCTGCCCCCTGGATTCCACCTTGGGCCCTATAAGGCGTGCACCTGGATGCTCATCTGACAGTAATTTAATGCCTAAAACTCCTGAGCTCCTGGGGGCTTCGCCCCCTCGACCCCACACCAATTAGTGACTTACTAGTGTCACAAATAAGGTATAAAAATATACTCATCTGACGGTAATTGAATGCATAAGACCCTTGAGCTTCTAGGGGCTCCACCGCCTGGACCCCACACGAATTTGTTACCTGCCAGTTCACAAATAAGATATCAAAATGCTCATCTGACCGTACTTTATTGCCGAAAACCGCTGAGCTTCCGGCGGCTCTGCCCCATGGAACCCACGCCAATTCGCGACCTGCCAGTGTTACAAAAAAAGTATCAAAATATGCTCATCTGACGGTTATTAAATGTATACAACTCCTGAGCTTCTGGGGGCTTCGCCCCATGGACCCCACGCCAATTAGTGTCCTGCCAGTGTCACAAATAAGGTATCAAGATTATGCTCATCTGACCGTAATTAAATGCCTATACCCATGGGTGTCGATTTGTATCCGTGGTTGGGGGGGGGGGGGGGGGGGTGATAGGTGCCAAAATATTTTCGGCAATGGATCAAAGCAACCAAGAGATAGAAGCGTGTGGCAGTTTGCACCCCCTCCCCAAGCGCGTAGCTAGAATTTCATTTTAGGGGGGGGGGGGGGGGGGTAATGAGCACGCGAAGCGCGCTCACTAGGGGATTGGGTGCAGGAAGGGGGAGTTTCCCCCCTCCCCCGCGAAGCGCGGAAGTTTGACGTTTCATTAGAGAAAGAAGACAATTCGTTGGACCGTTCTCGACTCTTCATCTTTGTTTGAATCAAGTTCCCATTCCTCCGCGCGTAGCGCGGAAGCTCTGACGTTTCCTTAGATTAATAAAGAAAGAAGACGATTCGACTTTTAATCCTTAATGTTTGAATCAAGTTCCCCTTCTTCGCGCGTAGCGCGGAAGCTCTGACGTTTCATTAGATTATTAAAGAAAGTAGACGATTTGTTGTACCGTTCTCGACTCTTAATCCTTGTCTGAATTCAGTTTCCCCGCTCCCGCGCGAAGCGCGGAAGCTTTGACGTTTCATTAGATTATTAAAGAAAGAAGACGATTCGTTGTACCATTCTCGACTCTTAATCTTTAATGAATTTAGTTCCCCCCCCCCTCCCGGGCAAAGCGCGGAAGCTTTGACGTTTCATTAAATTATAAGAGAAAGAAGACTATTCGTTGTACCGTTCTCGACTCTAAATCCTTGTCTGAATTCAGTTTCCCCGCTCCCGCGCGAAGCGAAGTGCGAAAGCTTTGCCGTTTCATTAGATTATTAGAGAAAGAAAACGATTCGTTGTACCATTCTCGACTCTTAATCCTTGTTTGAATTCAGTTTCCCTTCTCCGTGCGAAGCGCGGAAGCTCTGACGTTTCATTAGATTATTAAAGAAAGAAGACGATTCGATGTACCATTCTCGACTCTTAATCCTTGTCTGAATTCAGTTTCCCCGCCCCCGCGCGAAGCGCGGAAGCTTTCTCCTTGTCTCCTATCTCATTACGAGTTCGTCACAGAGTTCATCTATGTTTACACTGTCCAGGATTGTCTGATGTGCATTGCAGATTGCTACTTTTGCGCTCACGCGCTTAACATTTAGCTCGTTGCTTTTTAACGCTGCGTCTTTGCATTTAGCGCACTGCATTTCTATGATGCTGTTGATTGAACAAATTAAATAAATTCATCGATTCCTGATGAAGCCGTATGAGCGAGAATTCAATTTATTCTTGTCTCATATACGGTTGTCTTTACTTGGTATATTATGTATGTATTATGAAAATGAGATAGCAAAATGTGAATATTGATGGTCATCTTGCGAGTAATAATATAACCATTAACTACTCTAATCGGGCTCTCATCATTAATTTTTCTCTTCTTTCTTTGTTGTTGTTGATGGTGAATTATTGGGGGGGGGGATGATTGTACAGGCCATCCCCCCCCCCACCTCAAATATTGGGGGGATATATCCCCCCACCCCCCCCCCCCCGGGATCGACACCCATGCCTATACCCTATACCCCTAAGCTTCTGGGGGCTCCAACTCTTGACCCTCGCCGGGGCTTCGCCCCTATACCCACGCCAATTTACGCTACGCTCTATCTGATCATTCGTTCATAACGTTCAGCAGGGCCTGCATGTAAAAGTGGGGGTGATGCGGATTTTTTTTTTTTTTTGTCTACCTTTTGTCCCTTTGATTCGATTTTGTACTTAAATTTCTGTAAATATGTTAATTAAAATTCTGTTTAAACAAATTTGTAAATTGTATTTTCATTGTTTTATATTCTATTCGAATTTTATGTAATCACGGCCTCTCTGAAAAATAGCTTTTGCTGAATGCGGGCACAATTTTTGTATTTGTTTTTAACCGAGAATAAATAAAATATACCATATCCCCCCCCCCCCAAAAAAAAAAAAAAGTTTTTGCTCATTTCGTCACTGCCGGTGTTACCATTACGTACCAATATTTGGCTCGCATAATTTCAAATTTGGGCCCCCCCCCAAAAGTTTCCCATCACCCCAATCCCAAATTCATCAAAGAATATCTATTTTGCATCACTCTGGCACTCATCAAGTGCCATGTTCAAATGTACGGGCAATTTTCTTCTAAATTTTGCGAGCAAACCTAGCAAGCCAAACATTATGACGTATTTTATAGGACAATTGTTTATTATTTTGTAGTTAAGAGAATCGATAAGATAAAGAATAATGTAGCGGGCACCTCACCATCATCGAGTATTTACAATGTGACTGGGGAGAGGGGAGGGTAATATACAAATAATTTTCACAAATATCAATTCAAATTCTTGTCAGATTTTCTTTGGCTTATGACAAAAATATTATAATTCAATCAAATGTTTGTCAGTTGGGACAGGAAATCGTTTTCCCCTCCAAATTATAGGGAGGGGACACCAGCAATTTATCCTCCATATATATTCTTTAAAAGGCAATCCATGCAAAAGGCAAATATGCATTTACAACAACAGCAACAAAGTCCAACAAAAGAAAGAGATGGAAGGAGGTGGTAAACCGGAGAAACAAGCATAGTGCACAAGTGAAATATTAG